GTCAAACCCAATCTATGAATTTTTCTTTTCAAAGTTATGGTTTTTAGTTCTAAAGTTCCTATTTGGTTCTTTTGAAATTTAAATTTCTATTTTTCTGCTGAGCTTCTCCATATGTTCTCTCATGATAGCCTCTTTTAAGTCTTTGAACATATTTATAACAGCTTGTTTTATTTTCTGCTAAGTCTAATAATCGTATCATCTTGATATCTGTTTCTATTGATAATTTTTTTTTGCTTGATTATGGATCTCATTTGCCTGCTTCTTTGAATATCTGGCAAATTTTTATTTTGTCTTGGACATTGTTGATGGTACATTGTAAGGGTACTGGATTATATCCTGTGTTTTTAAAAAGTGTTGATATTTTTCTTTTGGATTGTAGTTAAATAATGATGCATTTTATTGATCATGTGAGGCTTGTGTTTATTCTTTGTTTGAGAGGTTGTATTTTAACTTTTAGTCCTAGGGAAGATCATTTAAAATAGGGTGTGGGCTATACTCTTAATGTGGAGCCTTTCTAAGATCTCAAATAAAAGGGCAAGGTGCTTACCAAGACTTCTTTGTTGTAGCCTGGATGGGTAGGACTCTAGTGTATTGCAGCATCGAATGAGCCTGGTATAAGCCTGAGACTTAGGTCTCAGCCCTGCATCAGTTCCTCTATTCTGGGACCCATAGGGTCTCATTCTGCACACGTGTAGCCAGTCTTTGATAAGGTCTTGTGGGGAAGTACACAGGGTTCTGAGTACCCTCCACTCTGCAGCTTCTTCCCGTCTGGTAACCTGCTTCTAAATTTTAGCCATTTCAGAAGCCCTCTTCTCTAATCTCTGATTCTTCAGCTCAGCAAAATTGCCATCCTCTGCTTGCTCTCCATCTTCTAGCATCATGGACAGGAAGGTACCTCCAGACATAAAGCATGGGAAAATATACTCTCCTTTTGTGCCTCTCCTGTTTCAAAGGTCACAGGACGAGCTGCGTATGGCCCATTTCCTGGAAACAACTGCTTCATGTGTTTTGTCCACTTTCATAGTTATTTACATCAGGTGGGCAAGTCTTACATAGTCACATAGTCATGGCAAGAAGCTAGAGAACTAAAGTTCTTATTTTTTTTTCTCTGATAATTATTATAGTATCCTGTTCTCTAATGGGTAAAATATGTTCTCTTATTTTTCTGGAGGTATTAATGATTGTTTGCTTCTTTATTTAACTCCTTACATTTTCTTTCTTTCCTTGGTAATTCTTTCTACTCTCATAAATTATTTTGGTCTCTGAACTCATATTAAGAGGCTACCTTGAATATATAGACAAGAATCATTCAAAAAAGCTGCTGGAAACTTCTTTGCAAGGGTGGAAGTTGTTCAGTGATCTAACTCACCAGAAAGTGATTGATTGGGGAATTGGCTGCTTATTGGGAAACTTACAGATGTCAGTAGTTGTAGGTCTGATTTAAACCTTGTTAATGACCGCAGAGAGGACTTCCTTAAAACTCCTAATGTAGAAAGAAGTATGAGCTGCTGTGTTTATTAAGCCACCATGTTTTACATCTCTGTTCATGCAGCTTAGCTTCTACCACACCTTATGCTTGGGGTTATACGCTTGGATGTCAGTGTTCTGGGAAGTGAGTGAGAAGAGAGGACTGGGGTTTTCCCTACTGAATTCAAACTTTCACTTGTTTTTCCAGTTTTTCAATACTGTGTTTCACTTTTGCAATCAGCCGTCACTGGCAGATCCTCTTATGTTCAAATTTTCCAGAGAACAAACTTCTTATTTTTGGTGGAGGTAGAAGGGGTATAGTCACGTGGCCAAGGGGTAGAGACCTGGGGTGTGGGGCACCTTATAAAAATTTTCAACCATTTTCTTTATATTCAACCCAACCTTATTCCCCAGGCATCAGAGATAACTGGCTCGTCCTATTTCCAAGGCACTCTATCATGCAAGGAGGTGAATCGTCTTTCTTACTGCACTTCCTCTGAAGGAAAGTTTCCATCTTCTGTGTACACCAATAACTGTTCAAGTATCTCTGTTCCATCTACCAACATTATGAGGTCAATTCATGTGGACTGGTGCCTCCTTTTTAAATGGTTTTTTAAAAAAATTAGTGGGATTCAAGAAGGCATGGCAGTGAACACGTGTGCTCAATCTAGCAGGTTCAGCAAGAGAAATACTGCTTTTGAGTAAAGTGAAAGTAAGACTGCGAGACAGGGAAGAACATAATCAAAGCATGGCCCTTTTAAATTTTGATTTAGGCTCAGTCTTCTAACAGTGTACTGGTCCTACACTCACTCCTCCATATATTAGAACCTGGTTATGCCTTTGTCTTGCTTCACTATCTCTTGCCTTTCATTCTATGTCTGTAGAACTGAAGCAAGAAGAAGCCGTATGCTTCCAATGACCTTACTTAAGCGAACACATTGTATTCATAGAGCAGCAAGGAGAGAAAAAGTGAGCGTGTGTGATAGGAGCCAAGGTCATGTTCCCTGTACATTCTGGGTTGCACATTAGTCCAGGCTCCCTCCAATTTGCAGAGGCATGTTAGTGGCAGCCCTGCTATTTTCAAACTCAATTTGCAGGGCTCTCTCCTGCCTTTCCTGACTTTATTTCAAAAAAAATAAACCCATCTGGAAACACCCTGAAAACAGTGTTCTTCCTGCCTCATTACAGCTTCATCCACATGCCGGCATCCTGGGACTGCCCTGCCTGCCTCCCCCTTCTCTGCCAGAGCATCTCACAGCCAATTAAATCCACTGTAGCTCTGCTCTGAGGCCTCGTCCTTGCTCCCTTATTGCCTTTCAATAGCTTGAAATCTACTCAGCTGAAAAATGAAGCCAATAATCAGGCAGGAATCATCACTGGAGTGAGAAATTATTGAAGAACTTTGTGCAATGCTGAGGACTGCCCCATTGGAACATGGCCCTAGAAGTAAAATGAGCCTTTTTAGCACCCACTGGAGACCAGTCATGACTTCCCATGCTTGGGTGCTCCGTTTGTGTTTCAAACATAAGGGCTCGAGAGTGACATTTAGCTGCTGCTCAGGGACGCATTCTGTTTCTTGGCATCTCATGCCGGTATTGTTTAAATGTTTGTCTCAGCATCTGAGATGAAAATGAATAATCAAGCCTAAAATGTGAGGCTTAGTGGTGACATCTTAAGTCAGCCGTCAGCTTTTGGCTCTCTAACCTCTTCTCCATCAGTTCTGCCTCCTCTGCGAGTCCCAGGTTAACTGTACTCACATATCCACATGATGCCCCAACTACCTAAGGCTCCTTCATCCCAGTGCTCTTCCCAGACCACCTGGAGAATGTCAGAGGTGGAAGGGATGGTAGAGATCATCAGTCTAAGTCGTCTGTTTGACAGAATTAAATAAAATGCATGAAATTACTTTTCCAAGATATCACAGCAAGTCTATGCTTTGGCTAAAGTAGAATTTGTTCCACTTGCTTAGCACTGGGACTTGGATGAAGTAAGTGAGACACTCTGGTGCAAAATGTAAGCGAGCACCAGTAAACCCAGTAATCAGTATAAGTAATGATTTAGTGCAGGATTCTTAAAAAGCAAAATTAATATAAAACATTCCTTGATGAACAAAATATCATCATTTTAAATAAAGACAGGTACCAACAGGTCCAGGATTAGGTTGAGGCAAGTGACCCAATGCTATACAAGAACAGAGTTGGGCCCTGTCTTTACTTAAAATTTTGATATTTTGGTCATCATGAATTATTTTTTGCATTTTTATTTTTAAAATACTGCATTAAGAAATATTATTTAAACTAGATTACTGATATTTTTGGCATCCTGTTCAATTTTGCTTCTGAGTTGAGTGCTTTACTCAATTCACATTAGTCACAGCTCTGTTCTTGATTCTCAAATCTGTTCTCTGCATGAGTCCATTTTACGTGCCATGACCTTGTCTTGGAATCTCTCAATTCTTCTTTCATTGGTCTGGCAACTTTCATTCTTCCCATTGAATCCTGAGCTACTCACTTCTTTGGACCTTGCTCATGCAGGTTTCTATGTGGGCTGACCATTTGCTCACTGATGCCCAGTTCTCTTGGATCCAGGACTCTTTCTGCTTCTCTGGGCATAGCTGTACATGAGCTCAAAAATTCCAGACTCCAATGTAGTGTCACCACAGGAAGAAAAATAAGACTGTTAATTGTGAAAACTGTCATCTTTCTGCTGAGCTATGTTAACTAAAGGGATGGGGTAAAGAAACAGAAAACTAAACATGGAAAGTAAAATGTGTGTTAGAAATGCATCGGTTCTATATTAAATTTTAGTCTCTTTTGGATAAATGCAATTTCCCAGCACAGTTCTAATATGTTGTAGCTCTAAGGCCTGTGTCTGGTCTCCTTTTCTGTGGCTTGCATTATTTCGACTTGCCTCTTTGGGTGTGATGATTGAATAAAAATGGTTAACTTATAAATAAATTAAGGCCCTTGTGAAATTATTTTTGCCCAATGCCCTAGACTTCATTCTTCATATCGAGCATTATTTTAGATAATATAGCCATGTACAATGTGGCATTTGAAAATCAAATTTTTTAAATAGTTAATCTACTACTGACTTTATTGTGATAATTTCTGTTTTAACAATGTTTACTTTAGGAATAAAGGATATTTTTCTAGATGGCAGTTTTCCTTCACATTGTGTGTGTGTGTGTAGGGGGTGCAGGGCTTGGAGAAGGAGTGATCAACTGTGTCAAAGGATGATGATGGTTATATAAGATGAGGACCTTCTATTGCAACTAATAACAGGTGGGAAAAGGCCTTTACATCATAATTTCTTTTTACTGGGAATTCAATTTGAATTAACTTTTTGTCTTCTTCCTTGTCCCCCAAGGACTCATGTCAAAGTCCATTGGAAAAAGATCAAGAGAGTCAAACAGTCTGCTCAACAAATTTCCTTAGATACTGATTACACAGGCTCAGGCTTGGGGCCTAGGGACAAAGTACAAAGTGTGAGATTAATGAGAGAGGAAGGCTTCCTAGAGGTATTAGTTAGGATATGGTTCAGCAGCTTTAATGGAGCTTAAATAACAGAGGGGTAAACGAGGAAGAAAGGATCCCAGTTGCCTATATTCCCCAAGGATAGGGTGGCTTGTTCCATGTTTTCCAGGGGACCCATATTTCCTTGGTCATACTATTATGCCATCATCTCAGGCAATTCTGCTCAAAATTCAGTCCATCAACTCTTTGTTACTGGTCTGAAATTAGAAAAGAAACTTGCATTAGTCTGTAAAACAATTACATAAGTAAGTACACTGCTTTGTCCAGTTGATTATTTTTCTTAGCCAGACTTTCTCAATGAAGAAGGCAGTATTTTGCATCATGCTGTGGTGCAAGTAAGGATTTGGTTGCAGTAAGGATCTGGGAACCAAATTTATATCATGAAAAGAAAAATCTCCCTGTGCCCTGCAACTTTCAGTAATACTACAGGAAGTATTGTGTATATCTTCACGCTTGAAGTTGGCTCACCACCACAGTCTCTGTGCTCTAGTCTATGGAAAAAAGAAAAGAAGATGTTGATGGCAAATAGCTTCCTTCTAAGGACATGCCCCAGAATTGTCCCTATTACCTTGGATCACAACTCCTTAGCCATAATTTAGTGACACTGCAACACCTAGAAGCAAGGAAAATGCAGTCACTACCTGGGTGCTATGTGCCCAGCCAAAACAAAAGAATTTCAACACTAAAAGCAAGAAAGAAAAATGGATATTGAGGACAATTACAGTCTCTGACACACCACATTTTACACCCTTACTTTTGGGACATGAAATGACTAAAACCAGTAAGGGTCTGGGAACCAAATTTATAACATGAAAAGAAAAATGAAAAGGTACAACAGAAAAACAAAAAACAAAAAACACCAATGTCAGCTTTTGGGAAATTGAGAAGGTGCAATAAATGGCATCTCTATTTACTCTTCTAAACTTCTAAATCATCTGAAAAATAAGCCAAATTAAGGCAAATGAAAGGCCATATATCAACTTTATTATGAAAAAATACATTGGAGAATGTGGCTTTATTTGCAATCAAATGCTTTTTCAATAAAGAACCTCAAAATAAGAAGAGTCACCCATCCAGTGAAAGGCATGGCTGGACTGCTAAAGGTAGTGTCCCATACATGCCTGACCCCCCTCCCAATTTACTCCCTCACCCTGCACGGGGCTTTCCTATTATGATTATTGAAAGACTCAACATTCAAGGGCTCATGATCTCCTGAAGACAAGATCATTCTCAAAAGAGAAAGGAAGAAGTTGAGCCGAGTTCACTCCTTGTATTCCTTCTCAGTTTTCCAGTGAAATCAGTCACCTCCTCTTCTTTGGAGAACGATGCTTGAGAGGCAGGAAGAATGTCAGTAGTGCTACACTAACAAAACTCCCTCCACTTGGAAGGAAACATCAGAAGTGGAGAAGATGCATTCCTTACCTGACACATTCCCCAGCTTTTTGTTCTCTTATGTATTGTACTGGGCCTAACCGTTAAGCTGATGACTAACCTGTAGTATCACTTATCTCCCTTGTGCCTATGGACCTGCCATTTCTCAGGATGGTCTTGTTTTTGCTGTCATGAAGATATTTTCAGGATATTAACCATTAATATTTTGGATATTATCCTGGAACCCCTAGTGGACAGTGTAGGTATTGACCCCAGAAGGCTCTGATATTAGTCCAAACAATGCATTAATTTCATTTCAAATGATATATTTCTACTCCAATTTATTCAGCTTTTTTTTGTTCAGCATAGTCGATCATAGGATCTTCAAAGAGATCAAATAATGGTATTACAATACTGTAATAATAAAATGCCAAGATAGAAGTGATGCAAATTTATATGCAAATGTTTCTCAAAACAGGGTAAAAACACAAGAGGTCAAAATACAACTCTCTTTACAGGTTAAAATCCAATGAAATAAATTTCAAAGGAATCAAATTTGAAAATCAAATTCTTTGGCCACCTTCCTCATTTCCTCTCCAAGTTCATATTCAGGTTAGCCTCAGCCAGAGGGATTATCTATGCCTGGCTGGAGTTAGGATTCATTCCTTCAGTAGCTGAAGCCCAAGGAGGCTTCCACAGGAATGGTTGTGAGTCCTCCAGGACATTAAAAGCTTTATTTGTTCAATACAAAGCTTTTATAAGCCTCTATTTTGAGAAATCCAAAGAAGTAACAGGACAGATCATCACAGCACTGGCCCATATCCAAGAAATTTTGAAAATGATCCAACCCCCAGTCCATAGAGGTTATCCCAGATAAAATGATGTGCTTAATGTTGCCAAGGATTACAGCAGGGATTTGGCGTAATCTACATGAAAGAGAGAAGATGGAGAAAAGCTTTTAGTTTCAGTCTAGAGACAATGGTAGTCATCTGGTACCTTGCCCAAAATTCATGACCTGTGCTTTGTAAATTCAACCTGGAGGTCAATCTTGACATTATTGATTTACTATATGAGAGACAGGGAAATCACCAGGACACACTGTCCCCTCTCTTACATGTAGCATTGGAGGCATTGTTTCTTGTGAAGTTAGAAATACACGTTCACAGCAGTCACTGTCATAAAGGAAACGCCTTTTTTTAAAAATCTAGTACATTGGAAATTGCCATTTCTCTTTTCCCTTTGAGCCCTGTGTTTCCAACTCCTAGCGCTGAAAGGGGTATAGACAATGTCTACTGACACAGCATCAATGCACCTCCACATGTGAACATTTTCAGATCTGGGGCTACTGGTCTCATGGTATGAAATTGCTTAGGCCTAAAACCCTCTTCCTAGGGAGGAGAGGGGCTCTACCTCATATAAAATTAACAAATCCCGACCCTCATTTTCTGAGGCCACCGTCATCTGCCTGAGGTCCCTGTAGCCTGTAGCTTTGCCGTAACCGGTGCCTCTGTGGAAGTCTGAGCGTCCTTCCTCTCTGTGTTTGCTGAACCTGAGGCCTAAAATCTGTTTTTGCAGCTCTTTGCCTGCACCTTTCCTGGGCCTAAGGTCTATGCATTTCCTGCATTGCTGAGGCCCACAACTCACGCCTTTGCTGAGTACTTGCTTTTCCTTTAAATAAGCAGACCATGCATTGTTTTCTTAAGGCATAGCACATTTAGTTGCCTCTATTAAAGAATAAGAAGTTTGCTTGAGGTCAAAGCTGCCTTAAACTGTGGCAGGCCTACCTCCATCTGCCCCTTTAAAACAGTTTAAAGTTAACCAAGAAAGCATCCACACTGAGGGAATCTGTGGATCTGTTTATTTCTATTTAGAATGTGTGTCGACATGTCAGTGTTTGTATGCACATGTGTATGCATATGTGTGAGTGGGTAGTGATAGGATAGCCTTGCTAATAAACTATCTAACAGAGAAAAATAAACTAACATAAAAAAAGGAGCAACACATAATTGCCCCTTTGGAGAGAAAGATCACAACACACAACAGCCCCTTGTGAGATTAAACACCTATGGCCTAACTTGTTGTTTTGTTTTTAACAGCCTTGAAGAGCCCTGATCAGACAGCAGGGGTGCAAACACTCTCCAGCCCCAGCTCTTGCCAGTCCACATTGCAAGGACTCTGATAATTCAGCCTCACAAAGAAGAGAGAAAAGAAGGGAAAAACATATACTGCTGTTTCACAGCTGTCAGCTTGCAACAATAATGTTTTTTTCCCCCCACTTTATCCCTTACTAACAACCCCAAACTTCTCATCCCCTTGGCTGGCACTTCTCCTTTCTTTCTCTTGTGTCATGCCCTTCCCACCTTTGGGAAATAAAATAAGCTTTCTTTCTTTAAAACTATTCTCATCTTTGTGTTGATATTGTTTTTCATCCCATGTTTATGAGCTCCCACCCTAACAGGTAAGAAATTCTGAGAATTAATATTTTATTACAGCCATTATCACACTGATATGTTCACAGGCTGTGGACATATTCTAAACAGGTACAATAATAACACTATGATTTACAAATTTCTCTGCACTGTATCAAGTGCTTTTATATCAATAGTCTCATCTTTAGTCCCCATGGCAGTCTTGAGACATAGGTACTATTTAAAATTTTTTTTATTTCATTGTAAATTGATAAATTATAAATGGATAGACTTGTGGAATGCAAAGTGATTATGATATATGTATGCAATAACATATGATATATGTATACAATGTAGAGTGTTTAAATCAAGCTAGTTCACATATCCATCACCTCAAATACCTATCATTTTTGGGGGGTGAGAACATTTTAAATTTACTTTCTTAGAAATTTGGAGTATATAACACGTTTTTGTTAACTATAGCCACCACACATTGCAATAGATCTCAAAAATTTATTCCTTCTATCTAACTGAAATATCGTACCCTGTGAATAAAATATCTCTGTTCTCCATACCCATAGTCTCTGGTAACCACTACTCCACTCTTTGCTTCTGAGTTCTATTATTTTATATTCCAGATATAAGTGAGATCATGTAGTATTTGACCTTCTGTGCCTGGCTTATTTCACTTAGTATAATATTCTCTAGGTTCATCAGTATTGTTGCAAATGACAGAATTTCCTTCCTGGAAACCCCATTTTAAAGATGAGGAAAGGAAATGTGGATGGGCTGAATACTCCAGGTAGTACATATCAAAGTAGGGAATTAAAAAACAGGTACTTTTTCCCTACTCCTTCATACCAAGACGGAGGAGTCATCCTCCTTAAGGAAAGGATGGTACAGGTGGTTTTCAAGTCTTTTACTTTGTTGCAAGAAAGAGGGAACTATAGTTGAGTGAGAAAATTTTCAGCTCTTACAAAACTAGGATGAGGATGGCAATGGAAGCCTTGGTGTGATAGGCCAATTCAAAGGATACATCCTCTCCCCCAAGATTCCCTCCCCTTGGTTACTCAAACACTCATTTAGTCATTGATGTGCAGGAATTTTGCAGATATGATTAAATCTACAGGTCTTAAAATATCCTGCATTATCTGGGTGGGTCTGATCTAATCAACTGAGCCCTTAAAAGTAGAGAAATTTGTCCTGCTGCAATCAGAGTGGTGTGGCAGAAGAGGAAGGCAGAGGAGAGATGAGGCAGAGAGATTTGAAGAATGAGAATGCCTTGACCCACTCTATGCTGACCACTGCTAAACTGGTGACCTCCAGAAGATAAGAATTAACCCTGGCCAATAGCCCATGGGAAATGGGGACCATAGTCCTACAATACATGGAACTTAAATTTTCCAACTGCTTGAATGAGCTTGGAAATAGATTTTCCCCAAGAGCCTCCATATAGGAGCCCAGCCCTCTCAATGCTTTTATTTCAGCCTTGTGGGAACTGCAGCAGAGAAACCAACTGAGCCCACCCTGACTTCTGACCCATGAAACTGTGAGATAGTAAATGGGCTATGTTTTAAGCCACTAAAGTTAATTTGTTACAGCAGAAAAAGAAAACTAATGCACTTTGTGAGAGAGATGGATGAGCTGACCAACTTTTTACTGTGTGTCAAGGGACAAGCAGAGGTAAGTTTGGATGAGTCTAAGATGAACAGTGCCTTTCTGAGAAATACTGCAGACCCGAAAGCTCATCCCAAAGAGTGGCCTTATGACACCAGTGAAAACAAGAAATTGGCATGGGAAAGGAGGAAGATACTTGAGTGAGCCCCTGAAAAGGTTCACATTTAACAAGACTTCTCAGATTGAGGTTTCACCACAGAGTAAGGAGTATCAGTTGAAATCTTAAGGCATTTATTTTCTGAGAGGGGAGGGGGATAAATCAATTTACATAGAATTTCCATCTTTCCTTCTTAATGTCCTCCTAACAAATTTGTAAAATGGTTAATTACGTAACTCCTCTTCACAGGCAAGGACACAAACAGTCAGATAACATTTGTGGCTAAGACCAAACAACCAGGACTAGCATGAAAGTTTTCTGAATGGAAAGTTGGCCCTTTCTCACTGCAGTCTGGGTTCTCTTTTATCGTCACTGTTTCATTTCACACAATGTTTTACTCAACCCCAAGTCTTCATGGAGAAAGTCAAGGTGCAAATCTGAAATAAATAATGTAACTCCACTGTTTAGAAAGCCTATCACACATTTTCTCTTAGAGAGGTGAATACAACTCCACATAGTGTAGTGTTTGGTCTTTGCTACCCAGTGGTGATTCTCCACCACATGGGAGTGGTGTTCCTGCTATTATTGTCACCGAGGCCTAGTTTTCAGGGTTTCAGTTCCCAGGTGACAGAACTAACCCTCTCTTCAAGATATTCCAGAGTTGACTTTAAAACTAAAAGGAGAGATTGGCTTTTTAGGAGAAAATCATGTCAACTGGAAGTTGTCCTTGGTTGGAGATTTGGGCCTCAGTGGGATCTAGTGGGATCCTGATGTTGAGGGATGAATATTGTCAACATCCAGGACTGGTTCCAACATGCAAAATGCCATGGCCGGCCACTTTTGCAGCTGTGACGCTTTGTAGGAAATACTTGTACACCTCTGCCTGTCTTCCAGCCAGCTCAGAGCACTTACATTATGTAAATCACTTTATCTCAGCATTATGGATTACTTAATTGCTTCTTAATCTTATTATGTTTAAGCATTTGTTGGGGCCCTGGGGTCCTGAAGTTAGTCCTCAGGAAACTTCAAGTTATCAGATAAGATAAATCACCACCAAGTGTCCTGAGCTCTGGTTCTGGCTGAGATCAAAGCATTCTTCACCCAACTATTTCAGCCCAGCCACTCTGGCTGAAAGGACAACCAAAGCCACAAGTGCCATTAGATTTTGTAGAAGGCAGAAGGTGGTCAGAAATACTGGGGAATGTTATTGTATCTGAAAGGTCCAGCATACAAAGAGACATTGAAATTGAAGAATTAAAAAAGACTGGGTTTAAAGTTGCCTCTTCTCACTATGAAGTGACTTCTCTCTCTGTTCAGGATTGGATTTGTCTTCTTCCACTTCTTTGGACCTCTTGTCTCAACACTGGTAATCTCTTTTGTCAACTGAGCCCATATCCACATGCTGCCCTTAGTTCTCACCATGTGTCTACAAGGCACCTCCATGCTACAAATGGGCAAAATTGAAGCTTCGAGGAATCAAGGTGTATTTTGGCTGGCCTGGCTCAATAGAAGGTTAGATTTTAGCCTATCTAGAGAAAGGAGTTGATGAAGATCTTACAGGCACTTTTTATTTTATTTTATTTTTTTATGAACAATGTTTACAATAAAGATCAAAGAGCTACTATCCTGAAATTAGGTGCCACAACAAATATGGAAGTAGTAAAACACAGGGATTAAATGGAACCCCAGTTTGGAAATCAAACAAACATAATTGTTTGTTGTTCCCAATTCCAACACCTAATAACTGTGTAACCACAGGAACTCATCTCTTTAAGCCTCAGTTTCATCACTTATGAGAGGCATTCTTAGAATTATCTCACAGAGTATTTGTGAGGACCAGATCTAAGAATGCATGTAACACTTAAAACAGTGCCTGGCACACAATAAATGCTGGCTTTTATCATCATGGCTATTGCCATTATTATGATCTTGTTCATCTTCCCTTTGCCTTCAGTCATGCCCAGGGCATCTCTTTTGAACTTAAATACCTTAATTAATGTCCTATTTCTTTCTGTTTCCCATCTCCTGTGTCTGTGTAAGGAGTTGCTATCAGTGCTATTCAAAATGTGGTCATGAGACAGGCAATTGCAGCATCATGTGGGGACTTGTTAGGAACTGCTAGTTCTTAGGGCTGGCCCAAGACCTCCCTAATCAGAATCTGTTGGGGTGGGGCCCAGGAATCTGCATTGTAATGAGCTCTCCAGGTCAATTACATAGTTTGATCAAGAAAATCCCTGAAAATGGAGATAAGATTTGGGTTCAAATCCTCTCTCTGCCCCTTACCGGCCATGTGAACTTTGACTCTAGTGTTTCTTTTGTAATGTGTACAAAATTCTCCGAAGTTTCATTATTCAGGTTATAGGTTAAAGCTCCATCAATGAAGAAACCCCAAAATACAGTGATTTGGACAAGATAGACATTGATTCTCTGCCTCGTGGTCCAGAGGTAGGAGAGTGGTCCAGAGTGAGTCAGTCACTCTGTTCCACGAGGTCTTCTAAGAACTCGGAATCCTTCTGTCTTGACACTCTCCCCTCTCTTGGAGCATTGCTTTGTCCATATAGTTGACTTAGGCTCAGTGACATTGTGTCAAGCTTCTTGCCTGAAGGAAAAGGGAAAGAGAGAAAGAGGAGGACAAGCAATTTTATTTTAAAGAAGTGATGCAAAAATGTCCCCATATTACTTCTACTCTTGACTATACCCAGTGGAAGGTGGGTGGGGGACATGTCTACAAGTTGGGTGACCAGATGCCCTATATACATTTGGGAGTTGTAGGTATTCTGACCCCAATAAAAGAGATAGTCATGGAAATCCATACTAGAATGCTAAGCACATATTCTAGTTAGCATTCCACAAATACTGATGTGAGAAGGGATAGCATGGTGTTGGAGAGTCAGACAGGAGTATGAATGAAAGTTCTGGTACTTACTTAGACCTTGGGAAAATTATTTCCTTTTCGAGATTCAACTTTCTCATTTTCTAACATAGAAATGACATAAGGTAATAACCTTACCTTACTGCATTGCTTTTAGGATGATGGAGGGTTGCCCAGGTTAGGCTACCTCCAATTCTAGGTCAGAATTCATTTTGATATATTTAATCACAATGAGACAGGGGTTATCCAAAAGTCATTAGATTGTTTTGCATGTCATTAATTCCTTATCAAACACAACTGCAAGCAACATGCTGCAATTACTGTGCAACTTTGGGCCCTCAGCCTGAAGGTAGGAATCTTAATCCTAGGGCCCATTTGATGATTGGTGGGGTGTGCATGACAGCGATCTTGCCAACAGCCTAAAGCGCAGATCTCAGTTCCAAAGGAGGAGGGGGTGTTTCCATCATTTTATTATATTCTCTAGGGCAGAAATTGCAGGCCGGTATTGAAATATAATTACAATTCTCTATTGTTTTATTTTGGGTATAAACAAATTCCTCTCTAATCAATTTATGGAAATAAACCTAAAAAGCAAATAAGCAGGCTTTCTAAACAGGGGGTATTAAACAGATTTGCATATGTCATTTACTCTGGCTGGGCAGAAATGCAGCCTTGTCTTTACAAATAAGGCAAATGTCTGCCCTGCTCAAGAATAATGATCCTTATTGGAGGTAGTCCCATTTGTCTTGACAACCCAACTCCTTTTTTCATAGCTATTTTTCTGCCAGCATGTTTCCATCTCTCATAAAAACAATGTTTCCTAAATTCTCCAAGTTAATAAGGTCAAAGACATGGCTACTTTCTCTGCTCTCTACTTCCTTCCCTCACAAAACACATGAAAGGCTGGAAATAAGAGACTACAGCGGTCTTGGTGTATCACGAACGATAGCGGTGGGCGCCTGGCTCCCTGAGGTGTGTTTTCTCTGGTTACTAGGAGCCACATTCACAGTGGGAAGAGGGGAACAGGCATGAAAGAGGGAGGTAAGAGGCTTTCTTAGTTTGAATCTCCTTAAAAGCAGAGCCTAACAAATGCTTGCACGCAGGTGTAGATGCTCCTTGATTCAAGATGGGGTGATATCCAGGTAACCTGTCTTAAGTTGAAAATATGTTAAGTTCAAAATGCATCTAATACACCTAACCTACTGAACATTGTGGTTTAGCCTAGCCTACCTCATACATGCTCATAAAACTTTACATCGATCTACAGCTGGCCAAAATCATCTGACAGCACAGCGCACTGTGGAGTACAGGTTGTTTGCCCTTGTGACGTGTGTGGCTGACGGGGCGCTGCGGCTCACTGCCACCACCCGGCAGCAGGAGAAAAGTATCGCACTGTATATCGCTAGCCCAGGAAAAGATCAAAATTTGCAATTCGAAGGCTGGTTTTTACTGAATGCATATCAATTTCACACTATCATAAAGTTGAAAAAGTCGTAAGCCCCACCATTGCAAGTCTGGGACTGTCTGTACTTTATTTTGGAAATGATTCCAGGAAAGAGCAATGTGTGTGCCAAGGCTCAGAACACAATACCCCAAAATATGGTGCCTGGGCATGCTGGGTACTTTGAACTGAAGAAGTTTGGAAGGGCCTTAGAGTAAAGGTCACTCTGACCTTCTCCTGTCCCTCTTTGTCCCTCTCCCCTCTCACCCCCAATGCACACCAAGAATTCCTCTCCCCACATCAGATCATAGAAGGTAAACCTGTTACTCAAAGCAAGCCATAAAACCTAGAAAGGTCTCTCTCTGACCTACCTTTCCTGAAAGTAGGTCATACAACCCTCATTCCAGAGGGGTCCTGGTCCGTAGCCACAGGAAAGGAATGCTGCACAGAAAGGCCAGGGAGAATCTGCACAAATAGGCCTTGCTGAGTTCCCCTCAGTTTATTGCCATGAGATCAGACTCTTTTCGTCCAATTATGCTTCTCCACATCTATCCACTTCTTTCATCAGACAGCATAAAAACACAAAGTTTTCCCAGGTTTTGGGGTCCTTATTTCTGTAAGCTCTCATGGCACATAAAACTTTGTTGAATAAACTTGTTATACTTTTCTCTTGTTAACCTGTCCCTTGTTATAAGAGTGTCATCCGTGATGGGTGAGGAAAAGGTATTACCTTTTCACTACAAGTGTCAGGGGAGAGAAGCAGGAAGAGAGGAAGCCAATTCAGAGATGTGTTATCAAGTTGTCTACTGCTGCAGGCAAAGGAAGCTTGATCCTGGGGGGGAACTTCTGAGAAAACTATGACATGAATCTCAGAACTGACTGCCTAAGGGATAAAGGCGAAATCGATCTGTAGTGGTGAAAAAGTAATATCTTTTCCTCACCCATCACAAGGCCCATGACTGATGCCCTAAGACAAAAGACAGATTAATGAGAGAAAGGTATGGCAAAATCAGTTAGCAAAGTTTTATGTGACATGAGAGCCTTCATAAACGAAGACTCGAAGGCTCCAGAGAAAACCACGTGTTTTTTTTATTAGGTTCAATGAAGAATGGACTGTCCTATAGAAATGTGATTGCACAAAAAAGGGGGTATGGCAAGGCCTGTTTTATCAGATTCTTCTTGGCCTCTCTGTGTAGCATTCCTTCCCCCCAAGTATGGGGCAGGACTACTTTGGAATGAGCATCTCAAGACTACTTTTGGGCAAGGTAGATCAGAGAATTCTTTCATGACTATGCTTCACATAGAAAAGTAGAGGGGGATGTCAGAATGTCGGAATGACCTTCTTGCTCCTGTGGGTTTTTCAATTTCCAAGATACCATATTTTGGGGTAACATGTTCTGAACTCCAACAGATTATGGATCAGTTCCCAGACCCCACTGATCAAGGTTGGAACCACAGGGGTTAATTCCCTGCCCTTTGGTTTCCACAGACATCTGGTGCAATGGCATCTGAGAGACCACGGGCAGGAGTGAGAGGCCATGGTGCAGCTGGCCCCAGCCTGTGCTGCACAGGTCGCTACGGCAGAGGCTAGCGCAGACGTGGGGCCTGGAGGATTTAAGGTTGCACACAGGAGTTCTCCAATGCAGGTGCCTACAGAACATTTTTTTCCTCTGTCATAATTGTCTTATTCTGTCTTATGTTCTGTGTAATTTTATAATAACATAATAACTAGCATTTATCTGCTATTTTCCAAATGCTGTTGGAGGCACCTTTGCAACATGTTCTCATTTTTATTCTTTGTAACAGTCCTTTATGATAACTTTGCATATGAGGAAACATTTTGGAAAAAGTTAAATAATTTGCCTACATTTACAAGACACATATATGTTTGCATTTTTAAGAATTTTTTCATTAGTTCAGAAAATATATTACCCTTACCTTACTGTAGAATGGGGGATTTTAAACAGTTTGGGTCCAGCATTCACTACATTTATAGATATAAAAAATTAAAGCAAGAGATTTTTATAAAATGGTATTTCTTCTTTTAACATATGTTGTACTTTGGTATTTTCTAGTCTGTTCTATTTGTTTATGCATATGTATGTGTGTGTACTTTAGTATGTTCGCTACACACTAAATTGATTTCATCACTCACCAATGAATTATGAAGCATGAACCCCCAGTGTTAAAACAGTGACCTACATAACCAATATTTCATAGAAAACGTTCACTTTCAGATGACAGGGGTCATCTGAAGCCTCATGAATCCCTTAGTTCAATGAATGATTGACTGACAGATTGCAGATAGAGAAATTGACAGCTAGATTGCAGATATAACATAAGAGCCAAATGCTATGCTTATTTTATTAATTTATTTATATCTGGCTAAGAGTTAAGTACAGACTTTATATAAAAGCTTTAGTCTTTGTTTAATAAAGAGAGTCTACAAGATAAAGTATGTTATCTGTTTTTTGTTTGTTTGTTTTTTAACAGAAGCTGAGATTTTTATAAATACCCTACCTTGTGACTAGAGATCAAATATATTTCCTGTATAATTTTGATTTGCTGGATTAAAAAATAAGAAAACAGAGTAAGAAGAGGGTAAAATAACTGAAAGTGTGGAAGAGTGTGGCCATGTGATTTTTTTGTTTTGTTTTGTTTTGTTTTGTTTTGTTTTGTTTTGTTTTGTTTTGAGACAGAGTCTTGCTCTGTTGCCCAGGCTAGAGTGCAGTGGCCTCACCATAGCTCACAGCGACTTCAAACTCCTGGGCTCAGGTGATCCTTCTGCCTCAGCCTCCTGAGTAGCTGGGACTACAGGCAAGTGCCACCACAACTGGATAATTTTTTCAAATTTTTAGTAGAGACAGGGCCTTGCTCTTGCTTAGGCTGAGCTTCAGGCCTCAAGCATCCTCCTGCCTCGGCCTCCCAGCATGCCAGAATTACAAGCAGGAGTCACTGTGCCTCGCCCCAAGGTGGTTTTGATAGATTTCCTCAGGGAGCCAACAGGGGCGCCCATGGACCAGCAGATACCACTGCATCCCTGCTGCTCTGCAGCTCCCACTCTGGCTCTGCTCTTCTTTCTTCCACTGAGTTCCCTGTGGTCAGTTCCAACAAAAAGCTTTTCACCAAATTCATTCCAACCTGCTACTTA